TTTTTTTTTTTTTTTACACATCTGTTACCACACCTTCCCTACTTACTTAATTTTATTAAATTTTCACATCCTTAGTATTTATATTATTTAAAAGAAGGACTCTGAAGAATATAAATCAATTTTTTTTGTAAAACAGAAACACCATTTACTGAAAATCTGTTCTGAATAATAAAATAAAAAATGCAATAAAAATTAATTAGAAAAGTTTTTAATTCCTTTTGTAAATAAGATATATTAAGGACACTATTGTCTCAAGAAAAAAAATTTTGATGAATAATGAATTTTTACAATTGTTTTCATTTCTTTAAAAATTTTAATTAGAATGATTTATTAAGTTTTAAATCTTTTAAAATTCTGTATTAATTTCTATATTTTAAATAATATTTGTTTCAAATCGGATTAATCTTACTCTAAATCAGCTAATATTCATCAAATAAAGTTTCAGAAACATTTTATTTTTGGAAGATTTTTTTAATAGAGAAGATTACATTGCAATCAAAGATGACTAAATAAGGGCACTAATTAGCTATTTTAGCAAAAATAAAAAATTCTTTCCATTCAGTTTAAATTAGTTCTTGAAATACAGCAAAGTATTTTGCTTATTGGAAATATTAAATTTAATTATTAGCGTGAAATTAAAACTAAAATAAAAGTTTCAAAAAAGATTTTTCATTTTTTAAAATTCATTTTAAACCTTAGATATTGTGAATCTGTGGAGGTAACTAGTTTACAGTAATAATAATAATATGCTTGTGTGAAGAGAAACAATTGCAATATAAATTTCTGTGTCTAATTCAGATATTCTGCTCTTCCTAATCCATTTTCTGGCTGACTCATAAGAAAAATAGTGCAAGCTTGAAACAACTATGTCAGAAAGGTATATAATTAAAGAGGAGGAATAAAGCAGGGAATTAGTTTCATTACAAATATGGAGGGGGGGACAGAGGGAGAGATATGGGGGTCTGTATTGGGTGACCAAGCACTAATAAACATTTAGCAAAAAAGAAAAAACAAATCTGACAAATGTTGAAGGTTTGCTTCAATTACTTGTAAAAATTGATTTTTAAAATATTCATTAATTTTTGAAGAATAAAAAACAAAGGACATCAAATTTCATTAAATATTTTGTTACATCTTAGGATTTCCTAAGAGGACCTTTACCAATGATAAACTAAAATTATCTTGATAAGAACTTAAATGTGCCCTTAAAATGTAACAGCTCCAAGTATTTCCAATTATAAGTACCAATATATCACTTATAATAAAATTGTTCACTGTTTCACAAATTCATTAAAGCTAAATATCAAATCAGCTATGAAACTTGAATATCAGCTTTTGAATATAATTATTACACAGAAAACTGAAAATAATTCAAAGTCATGCTGCAAAAAGAAGCCAGAACAGTCTTGGTGAAATACTATATTTAAATAGATATTTTCTGATGATTAAGAAATTCAAAACTATTTAATAATCTGAAGTGATGAAAAATATTATCCTGATTCTAATCCTTTTCTACATCAGTTACTACAATCTGACCCTCCTCCATATATACATATTTGATAAACAGATAAGTCTTAATTAGCAAGCATTTTAGTCAACTTTTAAGTAGAGAAAAAAACTGGTAAATGCAATGTATTTCTGTAACTTAAATGTAAATTACTTTAAATGCAGATTTTATTATAATAAAAGAAAATAGTATAAATAAGATGGCAAGATAAAACAACTACTTTTGAAAGCATTTGAATGTGCAAAAATGAAAGCCACTATTCTCATGCAATCTCACATAATTCAAATCAAAGAGTCATCATGATCATAAAGAATATAAAGTAGAAACTGCATCCTGTGACATTTTATACTACTTCTCTTCACACATAATCTATTATAGTCTAGTTGGTTCTTAAACTTAATTGATAAATAACCAGGAAGTGTGCATGCTTGTTGTCCATGAAAATAAAAATGTATAGGTTTTTCATAATTCCCAAATTCTTCCAACAAACAATAAAACATAATTGAATTTAGAAGCAGCTTTTTCAGGAAGGCTGGGATAATTGTGTAATACTGTTATGCTTACTTTTGTCATTACAAACATAATGAAATCATAAATAAATAGGTTTTACATTTTCTAAGAGAAAACAGCTGATAAACTGATAAGGTAGTGTTTTCCTCCCAAAATATTACATTTTCAAGATATAATTTATTACTAGTTCTAATCATAATGTATTACTAAGATTTATGTCCTCATTAGAAAAATATTGACATGAAAGTCCAAAAGATGATTTCTACGAAGAAAAAAAATTAAGGGCTTTTTGGATATTGAAAATCTGTTTATAATAATGTTTATCTATCAAATTGCCTATTAGATAGTTTGCATAAAATACATGTCTCAGTAAAATATAATATATCTTGCAATATCCTTTTAATCTTAAAAAAATACTTGAGTATGACTGTCTTTTTTAGAATATTGTAATACTAAATTTTGCATTTAGATTAAAGTGCACTTGAAGGATTTTAGATATTAGCAATGAATAGATTGACAATGGATTAAAAATAAATAAGCAACAGATTAACAGGGTTTAGCTTAAAGTCAGAAGCAGAATACAAAACTATTTAGTATTTGATTTGGTATCCAATTCAAGAGAATTTTTTTAAACAAAGATATTGAAATACAAATACTCAATGATTAATTTTATCCAATTTTACATCACATGTTTAATGAAAGAGATTTAAATAAAAGATAAATATTAACCACTAAGCCAGCATAGCTAATATAAGATATACCAACACAAGTTACTGGAACTGACAAAAATAAAACAATCAAAATTATATAGTTATTTCAGATTTTAAAATACTAACTGCATTGTCTATAACTTTGAGAGGAATTATTAACATATCCAAAATTGGTTAAATGCTGAAATTTCTTCATTTGTTAACATAACATTTCAGTTGATCCATTCCTCAGTCCTAATCAGGTGTAATCTGTGAGAAAAAGGAAACCACATATCTTTTTACAGATAGCACCTGCTGATGACAAATTGTTCATTAATATGCACAATGGACTGGTCTATTTCTACTGTCATGTCAAGTAATGTATAACCCTTTTCCCTACAAACATGGTCCACCATAGCAAGTTTTCCAATCTCCCCTTTAGTTATAGCTTTCTTTTGTTCCTCAAGCCTAACTAAGAGAACAGCTGGGTTCATCTTTATATTTGCTATGCTATAGATGAAGATTTTTCCCCCTCAAACTTCTCTCTCTTAAGGCAACACTTACTAGAGTTAGTTTCTTAAAAAAAAAATCTGACAATATATCAGAAAGTGGCAGCATGCATCAACCCATCAACATAATTCACTAACATGTAAATATTAAAGCAAGATGTGCATATAATAAGATACACAGGAATGTTGCTCATTATTACTATATTCAGGTGATATGTTTAAGGTATGAGATTTCCAGTTATTTCCAAATAATGAAATGAACCCAGAAGCATTAATATATTTCTGTAATTTGAAGATTGATGTAGTCTGCAACAAAATTATCCTTTTCAGCCTAAAACTCCTTCATTCTTCTAAAATTTTAAAATCATCAAGGTTTGATGTTGAATGAGAGTTTTTAGAAATGCATTGGAGGTGGGGGGCAAAACGTACATGACCCACATGATCAAATATCAAATTTTTTTTTTTTCTAGTACTCCCTCTGTTTGGCTCTAATCAACAAAAAAATAGTGTTGAAAACTTATTAAACTAAAACTACTTTACAAAATATATTCGAAAAGAGTAAAATATATAATTATATAAAAATATCATAAGTCTTTTGTATTATTATTTTGAAAATATAAAAATTTATCAATTTAAATGTCCTCAAAGTCAGATAAGTACTTTATTAATTTGAGCTTTTCCTCCTCCACCTAAATTTATGGGTTCGAGCACTTTTGACTATCGCTGTCTCTGGATGTTGTCAGTGTGTTAGACAAAATTTTGCTAGCTACATGTTGACATTTTTTATTTTATTTATTTTTTTTGGAGTGCTGGGATTCAAATTATTCCAAAGTGGCTTGGTAATGACTGAGATAGTCAAAAGCACTTGAGCAAAAACATGACCTTCAGAGTGTTAATCCAAAATTTTGATCCAAATATGGAGCATCATATTTAAAAATTGGAAAAATAGTGTAAAAAAAAAAAAAAAAAAAAAAGAAGAAGAAGAAGAAGAAGAAAAAGAAGAAGAAGAAGAAGAAGGAAGCAGACAGACTTTATCAGTTAAATGTAGCTACTGTTGTGCTAAAAAATGCATTCCTCTGATATTTTAAATTTAATAAATAATAGTTGTTTTAAATCAGCTAATATTCCTCATATAAAGTTTCAGAGAAGTATATTTTATTTTTGGAAGATTTGTTAATAAAGAGATTTAAATTTTTATAACAATTTGCTAGAAATGGCACTAAATTCTAAAATATTGGAAATTTGAAAAAATACCTTCCAATCAATTTAAATTAGTTTTGAAATAGAGTATAGTATTTTGCTTATTGGAAATATTAAATTTAATCTATCTAATTAAAACTAAAATAAAAGCTCCAAGAAAGATTTTTCATTATTAAAAATTCATTTTAAACGTTGGGTATCATGTTTTTGTAGAGGTACCTATACTACACATTATGCAAAATGTATCATCAACAAATCTTCCTGGGTATTTTACAGTTCAATTAATCCTTATAAACCAATGAAACCAGGAAGAACAATAACAAGAATTTAACAGCAACATGGTTTGGTTTTAAAGCTTCAAATGATAACTAAAACAAATTATGGAGAATTCAGGTTCTTAAAGCAAAAAATAAAAATCTCAATTTTATCTTTTGTAAATTCATGTGTAGAGATAAAAAAGAAAAAGAAAAAGAAAATATGCAGGTGGGTGCAAAAGGCAACAATGTGTACAACAAAACCATGCAGGTAGTAAATAAAAGAGCAGTTTAAATTATAGAGGGAAAAAAAAAAATTAAAAACACTGACCTCAAACTCTGGCCAATTCATAGACATTCCTGCACCATAAATGTTGGACCACCATCTCAAATCCTTCTCACAATCTGCACAATTGATTTGCTGATAAAATTGCCGGTAGATTTCAGCAAACCTAACAAAAGAAAACATTAAGAAGAGAAAAAAATAAAGTTATGGCTTAATACTTAGGCTATTTGGAAAATAATGTCCAATTTTAGACTCAATGTATTCCTGAATTGATGTATTTAAACAATATTTAAATCAGTCAAAATAGGAACCTTGAACATCTATATATTTCTGCCATCAAGTTACAGAATTATTTATGCCTTTACAATAAAACTATAAAGGTTTGGATGCCAAGAAATCTTTAAAATTTTTTCTGCATCCTCTTTGCAATAGAATGTCTTTTGGCTTAAAAAAAATTGTTAAAATGCTTGAAAGTGTGGTCATCAGTGGAAGACAGATCAGGGGAATATGGTGAATAAGAACTGCCACAGGTCTTGTATCCCAAGTTAGAGAACTGCAGTAAGTTGTGGCCAAGCATCCTCATGAAGAAGGACTTTGTCGATTAACTAGTGCCAGTTGAATTTTGCTTAACTAAATGTGCATTTCATCCAGTAGCTGACAGTAATCTTTGGCACTGATGCTCTGGATAGATTCAAGAAAGCTTTAATGGATAATGGCAATGGCAAACCACGAGACAGTCACCATAATCTTCTGTTGGTGAAATTTTAGTTTTGGAAAGCATTTGGATCCTTTGTCATGATCAAGCCATTAAGTTGATCAAGCCATTAAGTTGATCATTTACAATTGTCATAAAAGATCGTTTTCTCATTTCATCACTATTCGATCAAGAAATAGCTCATTTGAATTTCACTGAGTACATGTGGAACACACTTATTGAATCTGTTCATCTTGCCAATTTTCTTGTTCAACTAGTATTTTCAGATGTTGATTATCAATTGCAGGTAGACGTCCTCTACCACCTTAACCTTCAAAACTCATATCCTCACAGTAGAATTTCAGAAACCTGCATTCTACTGTCCAATCACAAATAGATTCTTCACCCCATGCTCTATTAATTTCTGACAGCAGTCTAAGAAGCATTATGACCAAGCTTAAACTCATGCAAAAAAAATAAAAATAGGGAAAGGCATCTTTTTTTTTTCATGTTCAAGTTAAGGGCTATATACGTTTTCAGTTAAATTCTTAAAGAGATTAATATAAAATTAATAAAGAGGACACTTTAATCATTAAGAATGAGTAATTTATTTTTGTGCAGCTATTATAATAATATATTATATATCATCTTTTATGACAATTGTAAATGATCATTTAAATAAACCTTTTGTGTTCATAAGGACACAAAAAGTTTATTCTAAAATCAAACATTATTTTCCAAATAAACTAATATATATAAAATGTTAGTATCACAAAAATTACACCACAATATTAACATCTTTGACTGCAACCAAATGCATAAAAATCATAAAACAAATTTGCTATGTGACACATCATAAAATGATACATTTCACCCATCAACCAAAGCAAACATGTATACTATAGAAAATTAAAAACAGTCAACTTCAAAATTACCAATAACAAACACATATCAACTACAACCTTCAGACCATCAATTGCCCTGCCCCCATACAAGACTGTGACTCTTATAAATCTACATTGATTACACAATGGCATAATTAAATCATAGACTGACAAAACCTCTTAAGCCATCTCCAATTTATAAGGAAGCACTTAAATACCAGTTCCTATAAGAAAAAATCCTTGTAATTAACACTATCATTTAAGGACATCTAATTTTAAAAGACATCTGAATATAACTAAAACTATTACATATAAAGGTTTAAGCCAAGTTTTAAGAATTACTGCTACTCCCATCCAGCACGGTTTAGAAATACTATTACCGCTACACAATACAACTTAAACATAAACATAGGAAAACGGCTTATGAATTGGCCAAAAGTACTTGGGACAATAATCACTACAGACAAATTCTATACTCTTAGTCCCCATAAAAGGTTTGGTTTGTTTTACGGCTTATCAACCTCAATGGGTTATTTAATGCCAACAAAATTTTTATTGCTGGTAATGTTTTTCTTCAAAAACCTATTTCTGGGAATAGTTTTTCTTGCAAAAATCTATAGCTGGTCATATTTTTTTCAAAGAATGTATAACTGTTTGTATTGCTGGTATTTTTTTTTTAAAAGTATTGCTGATAATAATTTTTTTTTTATTACAAAGTATTTCTGGTATTAAAACCTATTTTTACACAAGTTTGGTGTTAACTATTTGCCCGTAGCTGGGACCCTAACAGCACCTGTTAGGGTCCCAGCTACGGGCAATTGCTGGTGTTCCGGGTCAGGGTGGACCTGGGAACACCAGCAATTAAGAGGTGGTTCCATGCTCCTCAAAACCTCCTGATCAGAGGCCTTGCTGTTGGGCATAGTTTATCGTCTTTCCCCATAAAAAGAAAAACTGTAAGAACATTAAAGAAACTGAATAAAAACCATGTGTAACATTTAATGAAACATGTACAAAATAAAATAAAGATTGTTGCCTATATATATATATATATATATATATATATATATATATTGTTTGTTGTTATAATAATTATAATGATGATAATATTAGATTATTGACATAAAAAATTCAAAAGGAAGAAAAAAGTCAAGGAATTATAAAATACAATGTCAACTATCTGAAATATCCTCTGGAGCAAATACATATGTATGAGGGGGATGCTGAAAAGCTTTCAACCTTCTAAAGATCAGTATTCTGATATTTGATCACTGAAATACAGATTCTGTGAAATGAGACAGCAATTCCTAATATAGTTTTTAAGATTTTTGTTCTAATATCATGGAGAATATATTCCAGAAAAAATTAAATCAATAATCTGATGATGACTAATATATTTTTAATTTATCTTTTGCTGTAAATATCCTCTAAACAACAGATTCCAGCTGATAAGTGCATAGAACTCACAGGTGTCTTCAGTGAAGAGTATGCCAGAACTATTTATACACTGACTTGCCAAAAGTCATGGGGTGGTAGCATGCAAAGATAATGTGACAATAGTAGAGAGTACCACCATAGAAATATCCTGACATATCAATTGTGCTCTGACATTTAGTGAGTCAGTATGAACTTCAGGTAGGTTGCTAGTATCAGGGCAACATGAATTATTAGAGTTTGAACAAGGTAGGATTATGGGTACCAGACAGAGGGGACATTCCGTTTCTGAAATTACAGGTACATTTAACATTTAGAGTTTCAACTACCCGAACATAAAATGATAGAAGCATTACTGCCTACTGTGAACAGCATAGTGACTAATCAGGAGTCTTTAATAATTTTGACCAGAGATTTATTTGTGTTAACAGACAAGTGACACAAACTCAAATCACATCTACATTCAATGCAGGAGGTACCAGATATATACCCAGGAGGTCACTTCAATGTTCTTTAGCTTCCATAGGGTGAGGGAGTAGTTGACCCACCAGTGTGCCCATGTTAATATCACAATATCATATACATTACCTCACTAATTACAATCTGGAGAAATAGAAACATAGCTTGATGGTCCCAGTTGATAAGGGCACATGTGTGGAGCTGATCCCAGTTGTCAACAAGGCATTCTGCAGGCTGGTGCTGGTTCCATAACTGTAAATGGTGTGTTCATAGGTCGGCTTCATCTAAACATGTCATTAACTGGTGACACAGAATTACCACAAATGTTCAATTTTTTAAAAAGGGCAACATTTTCATAGCATAAAATATCTGATATTTCTGTTCATATTTAGAGCTTTTCATTAAGTGCTAATTTACAAAATACAAAAAAATCAGATATCTTTTTTTAATAATAACTAAAGTATTTTGCTTGTTTTGTAGTACATTAAAAAACATAAATTAATAAATCTATTTATTTACCGATGGTCTTGTGAAAGATCCAAACAATGGTGAATTCCAAACAACATTTGTTTGAAGAACATTAACCGTCTTCGTTCCATCTCTTGGCATTCATTGAAAACCTAGATTTCAGAAACAATGTAGAAATAGAGTGAATATTATAATACATTCAATTCCAATCAGAGATGTTAAAAATTGACTTTAAATGAAAAATATTTCCTTACAAAATTATAAAAATGAAATAAATTTCTTTTAAAAATTCAGCTGGGGACTAATAAAAATATAGATTTAAGTTAGTAACTTTTATTGAAAATTTTGTGATAAATTATTATTATACACTATATATTGTCTAGTCCTCATCCTGATTGTTATAGACTATTTAACAACAAAGATGAGCGAGTTTGAATACATTAATATATAATTTTGATTAGAACAATTTACATTAAATGATCAAGCTTCAAAACATAAAAAAAATTATTCATATTAATTTGTTATTCATCATCCTATCAACTAAGTAACAAAATGTTTACAATATATTGCAAAGATTACATAAAAAATGCATATCAAAAGTAAAATAACTTCATTATTTAGAATTAAAGTCAAGATGAGGATGATAGTCCGAGCAATGTAAATAGTGTACATAATACCTCATCTCAGAAATATAGACAGATACTAAAGTCAAGAGGAGGTTACAATTTAGGCTTGAAAAAGATAAATCATTATTATATAAAATAAGGTCCAAATCAGAAGTAAACTTTAACATTCAAATTTCAACAAGATTGATGGGGAGCCAAGGTGTAGAAGAATTCAGAAAAGGAAAAACAAAATTTCACATGTAACTTACAAATGTCATTTCTTCAATGTATTTTGGATTATAACTGTTGAGGTCATGTAATGCAGCTGTATATTTTTCACGAGCATTTTCTACATCAGTACGGCATTTTTGCAGTTTTTCTCCAAGTTTTTTCACCTAAAGATTAAAGAAAAAGATTATCAAGCATTAAATTGAAATGTTTCAAAGTTATTAAAAGAAGTCTTTTCATTAAAGTCAATACTATTACATATCTTTTTTATAAATATATATGCATAATATATATATATATATATATATATATATATATATATATGTGTGTGTGTGTGATATATATGCATAATTTTTACTTAATGCAGTGTTTAACAAAATAAAAAATAATTTGTTTGATACATAAAATCTTTTTTATATACAACTTTCTAAAAAGATTTCTCCTACTTAAATAATTTTCTAAAATAGCTAAAATTTAGTATAAACATTGAGATCATATCAAAATGCTCTACCTGAACCATCAGTTACGTGCTATTATGTGTGAATTAGGCGATCATGCATCTTTTGATACATGACTGACGAGGCAGATTTTTTTCACGCAGTAGGTTGCCATTTCTTTCTGCGGTAGACCAGTTGCTATCCAAGGCTATAGAACCCAGTCTGTCCTGCTATTTACCCATAGATGGGGGGGATTGGTACCTTTCCCAAGGGTATTAGCACATAAGTGAATGTAATGGATTCAATTGGAATTCAAACACAGCTCTCTGATTCCTCAATCTGAGCCACTATCCATTACTCCACCGTACCTCCTTACTCCACCTGAACCATACATGATTTTAAAATATGAAACCTTGCATTATAAATTTAAATGTACGCCTGATGTAAAGTGATGATTAGCAAGTTTGTCTCACTATTCATAAGAATAATTATCTATAAATACAGTTTTTATTGTTACAAACACAAAACCAAGATTATTATCGCATAAAAAATGTTTAAAACGAAGTTTATAAATGTTTAAGGTCCTAAGGCTGATAAACACTAACGATACAGCTTTGTAAATGATATTGACATTTCTAGTATTAGATGTCAAATGTTGATACACCAATCCAAATCTTGAACTATATAGCTTTCTGGTATTCACAACTTCAGCAATACAAGATAATTTAAAGAGTGAAGCTAATATACCTATTGTTTTAACTACAGATCAGGCACCGCTGTTATCATGCAAATTAGTCAGCATGATCAAACACTTAATTCCAAACATCCAACTACCAAAGAGAGCATAACTCTCACCAATTCTCATACTGGAAAGAGCATTAATTAGTTAACATATAAAATTCACATTTCCCAACTCCCTCCCAAATAATTATTAGTGGGAAATTTGAATTACCAAACAGCTGTTCTACCACCCAACTAGGAAAGATCTCCCAACCTTTAGAGTAATCTAAGATTTCTAAAATTTCTCTATCAAAGAAACAATGTAAAATATTGTCAAGATTAGTGTTAGTATTGTAAGTGCATACTACCACTCATTCACATTTATACAACAAATGTAATACCCAATCAAATGCACATGTGACACTAAGGCTGTAAGGTGGTTAAACATTAATTCTAAACAGAAAAAGGTTAAGCTCCAAATGAAATATAAACTGGAAGATAAAAAGAGAGATTGGAAGACTTTTTCCCTGGCAGCATGGAAGTGAAGTGGTCATCTGGGTTGCCTCACCCCTACAAATTGGAACGATGCACAGAGTTTATTTTTTTTGTTTTATCTATGAAAAAATCTGGTATGTAGGTAAAACAAATTGGAAAATGGTTTTATCTCTTTCTTGAGAAAATTATAAAAACATGTCATTGGCAAAAAGAGAAGCAGATGAGAATTATACTTTCTTTAACAAAAACAAATTGAGAAATGAAAATGGAGAATGAACCTGCTGTGAAGGTTAGGATTACGAAAATTGATCTGTCATAACAGATAAGTGATGCTCAGACGACGACCAGCCCAAGGATGGTAAATAGTGTGTTTCTTTGTTGAGGTAAACAAATATATTTTCATTGATGAAAACAAATAGGGAAATAATTTTTATCTATCATTCGAAAAGTTAAAATGAGAAGGTGATATGGTTTGTTTTCGCTGGACAGGTGGTCCAGGAAAGGGAGTCAGAAAATTGAAATTAATGAGAACCATGCCCTTTCTCCTATACACTTTAAAAATTAGATTTGTCATAAAGGCAGTTATGCCAGCCCTGAGAAGTGGGCAGACTTAGAATACCAAGAAAGGAGGAGGAAAGGGCAGAGTAGCAGTGCAAGATGTGAAGAAAAGCAGGTTGGAGTCAAAGGAGGAGCAATCCCTGTTACTACTCCCAAGGAAGGTGAATAATTCTCCAATTTGGAAAGTTGATTAAAAAAGCAGAAATAGGGAACAAAGAAAGCCTTTATTGGAATTAATGAAAATCCAGGAATCACCGAATCCTCAGAATCTTTCAACCCCATGCCAGTTTTAGGTTGAAGTGCATATAAACAGATGGCTTTGGGGAGCCCAGAGACTTTGGGCTGAAAACCCACATAAAGTGCCTCTGAAATCCATGTCAGCTGCCACCAGATTTCCTGATACCAAAACTTTGAACCCAGCTCCTCCAGAATTTTAGACAAGGCCCAGTGTCAATATAGAGATTGATGCGGGAAGGGTTAATTTTTGTTGTACCAAGAGCTATATAAACCAAATGAAGATTAACCCCACAAATCTCTCATTTTATTTTTCATCATGAAGACATTTTTTTTGCCTTAATACAGCACCTGCCATGGCTTGAACCAGCACCGTGAGACTACAAACTTCAATTCTCCACTGCTTTGATATCAAGAACACAACGTGGGCAGAGTTGGAGAGGATCGAAGTGGCCAATGACCAACAAGCAGTTTGGATCAACATCAGCATTGACCAGCGCAGAGTTAGCCCTGTGGTTAAAATGTCATTCTAAGACCCTGAGGACCAGAGCACTAAAATGTGGTTATACCACCAAGTGTAGGCAGCAGTGGCAAAAGGTGTTATACACATAGTGTTGTATCCATATGTTATTGAAAAACATTCAAAGAGATCACATTATGAAAATAACTGCTACTACCTGTCATTTATAAATTATGGGGGGGGTATATATATATATATATATATATATATGTGTGTGTATGTGTGTATTACCTGTTCAACTGGGATTGAAGGATCTCCCTTAGCATTGTTTTCCTGGTTGGCTGTGCTCTTTTCTTGCTTACAAGAAGCATGATATTCCTTCTTGGCAAGAATAACTTTCTGATATCTTTTCATCCAGGGTTTTTGAGCCTAAATAAAAACAATTTTATTTTAATTTAAAAAACAATTTTATTAAAAACTCAAAAATGATACATTTAAGATGAAAGTTTTACAAAAGATTGCTGAAAAGTTCAACCTTACCCATTTCCCAAAATCTGATCAAATAACCAAACATCAAAACATTTGGTTTGGATTCTTGGTCAGGCCAGATTTTCAGCAACTCTCAGTTGTAAACCATTCTTATACATACTTGTATACATCCCTTAACCCTAACAACACACAGTCCTTAAGAGCGCCTTCCCTCAAGATATTGTCCTTATGCCTTTCTACCTTTGCATTACAAAACTGAACCCCTTGGTAGAAGGTAGATAAAAATAAAATTTAGCCACACTAAAGACAATTGTTTAAACTAAGACATAAAAATAAGGTTAAAACTGTTTTAACAAAGTTTTCTTTGATAGGATATATTCCAATCAGTAGTAATTACAGTACTCAGGCTCAGCCAGAGGAACTCAATTGTCATGTCTATTTCAAACCAGCAAGCAATATTACAAGAGAACAAATTATCCTTGATTTTTAATAATTCAGGATTCAGGTTGACAAATTTCAGTCCAAACTATTAAGAATAAAAACTTAAAGTGATTTTAGTTTACTATTTTTCAAAGAATATAGATTTATTTCAACTTCATAATTTTAAATGTTGACTTAAATTTACTATTAATGATCATAATGTTATATGAATAAAGGTTGTTGAGGCTAGCTCTAACAAATTCAGTTCAGCTCAATAAACAATGTATAATCTTAAAATTATCAATAAGTTTTAATATTTACTTTTTTCAAGGTATATATTTTGTTAAATTCATAACTTAAAATCTTGACTTAAATAAATTTTGCACTCCATAATAATGCTATAGGAACAAAAGTTAATGAGGACAACTAGGTCTCACTGAATTTAATCTAAGAACAAGCTGTTTACTAAAAAACTGTTTACTAAACAGCTGTAAATGTTAACGACCATTTTCAATTTTCATTCAATAACCATTTTTTGTGAATAAGGATTGTGTAACACTTAACATTATTCACTCTAATGAAAAAGAAAACATTTCATGTATAACAAATAACATAATAAAATTTACTTCACTAAAATATCATTTCCTTTTTTTTTTAAATTGCTTTTACTTTAAATTTAGTGAATATTATATTTTATTGATAAATAAATTTCTATGAAATATCGCAAAAACCCTTTATTGAGCCTAGATGACAGACAAAATTTCACAAAAACACTTTATTCTTTCAAATTTAGAAAAAAACAATTCACATTAATTAAATAATTTAAAAATTACTTCTATGTGCTGTGCCCTTTCAGGATATAGACGATTATGGCTTCCCACAACCTCCTATTCCTTGTGGCCCTTGGTAGTGTTTCTCCCTTTGTCAAGCCTTCCACACACTGTTCCTATCATTCATTGGTGGCCCACTGCCTTCCAGTATCTCTCTTGCCATCAATATGCCCTGTGAGGGTTAAGTTTTCCAAACACCCACTTCCTCATTATGTGCACAAAAGATTTCAGATGTTGCTTTCTGATTCTGTGTTCTTTCTTGTTGCCATTTTCTTTAAGACATCCTCATTGCTTACTTACTCAGTCTATGGAATTCTTGATATTCTGTAGAACCACATTTCTGTTACCTTCAATTACTTCTTCATCTGTGGTGAGATTGTCCAGCATTTACTGCCATAGAAGAGGATTATTATCACATTGAAATTCAGCACTCTCTTCTTTGTTTCTTATGAAATTTTCCTGTTTCTTAGTACTTTTAGTCTTTGGAATGCATTTTTTGATAATCCAATGCACATTCAAATTTCAGTATCACATTTTCCAGCCGCTGTTAAAAGACTTCCCAAATATTTAAACATATGTACTTGTTTGGTGTTGACATCAACAATTTGTACTTTGCATCATGCAGAAAAAAAAACATACTTTTTGTCTACACTATTGTTCAGACTATCGTCCTCAGGTTTGTTGCCATATTTATCACAACGTTTCGGCCATTGTACACTCCGGTGGAATGTTCTTGTTGGAATGTCGAACTGAACCCTTTATTTCACTTACTGGGGTAGGCTGTTCTAGTTCCATGTGCCATGTTCAAGAACACCAAAAAAGCTGTAACATGAAGGGAAGTGAAAAAATCAGGCATGGCTGCCCACATATGGAGAGAAAAGGGAGTTCATTTAGCACATATGCCAGGCCACAAAATTCTCCTGAGCCAACCAAGCATAAAAATGAATACAATATGGGAACTAGTAATAAGGAGTGCCAGAGAAAGGCAATAATAACAACGAAAATTGCAATACGAGCTCTGGTAATAAAAAAAATAATAAAAAAAATGCAATGATAACAGCAAAAATTGCACTGTTAAAAATGGTTGCTGAAGACACTAAGTTTATAATTCACAGAAATTCATACACAGATATCCTCAAGCACACATGCCACAGTGGATAAAGTTGTTAGATCCAGTGACAGGACCCAAAGAGTGTGAGTTCAATACCTGGTTAAGGTAGTGGAGAACTTGGAGAGGGGGATTAACTAATAACTGACTTCCATTAGACATGGATCTCCCCCAACAAGTGAAATGAAGAGTTCAGTTCGACATTCAAACCATAACATTCCGGCTAAAACGTTGTGATAAATATGGCAACAAAGATGAGGACGATAGTCCAAACAATGTAAATAGTGTATATAATACCTCATCTCAGAAATATAGATAGATACTTTTTGTCTTACAGTTGATGGCTAACCCTTTTTTCTTACTTTCGTTTACTACCTCATCTAGGAAGTCTTGTTAACGCAGTATCATCTGCATATCTTATATTGTTAAGATTCTATTTCCTGATAATAAGTCCTTGTAGAGTCTCCAGCTCCCTTAGGATAACCTCACTGTAAGTAGAGATTGAACAGATTTGGGGTGAAAACACATCCTTTTCTTCTGCTGAGGCCCTCCAGTATGTTGCCACTGTTGTATATTTAATTTATCACTTCTTCTGTGATCTTATCAATGTGAGTATCTCTATTACAATTCTATCTGTAACTGCTACTTTCTTCTTGGCTAGTGCTGATTATACTTAAGATTTTAATAGCTTTCATATTTTGGTGTATCTCTCATCATGAAATAGTAATCTGATATATTCATTTCATCTTTGGAGTCATTTTTCTTTTTCTATTAATCAGTGTTCCTTTCATTGATTTTATACAACCTGTTGATGAACACATCTCATTCAAAAATATTTTATTTAGTAGAATGAAAATATTACTTGCACTACTTAAGAAAAAAATCACATTTTTCCAAAGACATACATTCCCTATGTAATATATAGATGATTTGCAGTACGAATACCCTGATATGTTTGATTACAAATCTTTAATAAATAAGCCCAGATAGTCTTATAAAAACAATAACTTTTTGATCATTCTTAAGATACACAATCGCTCAAGATTTGCTGTCTCCACAGGCTTGCATTTCTATGAAGAAACAGAAACTTGTTGATTTAGAATGAAAAAAAGAATTACATAACAAAATATTAGAAAAATTTGCTTTAAAAACAAAGCACTTAAAATGCATGTTTAAATAGAAGGCTTATTTCTTATTAAAATTTATGCATTTTTACTTTTAATATGCTAGTGCAGTGTGTTACTGATTTTACTATAAAAATTTTTCATGTAACTTTATGATACTAATGCATTGAAAATTAAAGAAATGAAATTTTGTATTTTCCTACAGTCTAAAGCAAACTAAATAATTATGGTTATTATAGCTCATCATATTTTTGTTTGTTAAAGAAATGTAAATACACCATAGGTCATGTAAGATAGCTAAAATATTCAAACCAATCATTGAAAATCTTTCTCTTTAAGTAAAACATAATGGGTTAAATAAATTGTCACTAGAATGGTCACTTTATTTTGAAAAATTCTGCAGATAAAGGGAAATAAGCAGATTGGTCGTTATACAATAGCAAGTAATCTTAATGTATGCGTGCACACAGTTTTTTTCTATTCTAATGAGATTGTAATTAAATACTGAATATATTATCCTAATACTCAATGTTAAAAAGTCTTTGCTCAGCCCAAGTAACATTGATAAGCTAGACTTGTTACTGATTCTAATAAATTACTTTTATAAATACATAGCTTATATATCTAAGACACATTTCACTTAACAAGATTGAGGAATAAAATATTTTTAAATTATAGAAACATAAGAAATAAATTGGTTTTGTAACAGTTATGCTTAAAAGCAAACAAATCTTGTTTGAAATAATTTACATGTTACTCAGATCTCTTTAAATGTTGAATATTTATGATTGCATAAAACTTTAAGTATGTTGATTGCATGTAAAATTTGGAAATTAATGTTTTATAAATACATTAGTTTCAAAGATGTGAGCCATATTAATTATTCAAATGTAAACTCCAAAATTCACAAGTACAGAAATCTTTGAAATGTTAGAATACTCACCCATGTAAATTTTGAATTTACTGATATAAATGCACACATACCCTTCTGAAGTTGTCCTCTTTGTCTTTGCTTTCTCGAAAGTTTATCATTGTCTTGTGGTAATTTTCCTTGTTCCATTGTTTGATCTGAAGGTAAACATTTGTCATCAACTTTTCAGCAACTTCTGTGTGTAGCTCACACAGTTTATCTGCTTCTGTGAGGACACTTCGCCAAGCTGCTTGGGTAGTACCATATTCAGGACCTGAAATAAATGTATCGATTTCAATGAAATCAGCTACAGTAAAAGTTACTAAACTTGTGACAAAAAACATTCACAAGTAAAGAAACTGAATTCATGTTAATCCTGGTCATTGGAAAAGAAACTTGTAGTGGGTATATAGTTCCAATCAGAAAAGACATTTTTAGTTCAGAAATCTTTTTTTTTTGTAATCCAGTATTACCCAAATTAATATTATAAACTTTAAAGAGATGTCTTGATATGGAGCAACAATTAGCTAGCTAATTTTGCAGGAATGTAGAAAGGTACCGAGTACTTCACCTTTAGGTCCTTGTGCTAAACTAAGCTGTTAGGAAATTAAAGTTTTGTATAGAAGTTAAAATTTACATTAAGTAAAAATTTCACCTGTGACTAGAAGCAGACATAGGAAAATTCTCTTGAATAATATAAAAAAAAAAAATCAACAGATTCAAACAAATCCCATGATATAACTGACAATAAATATGGATACAGGTTGGTCAAAAAAGTAATGCTTGTTTTCATTTCACTTTTAAAGAACTAGAAATCCTAAGTTGTTTTTGTTTTAATAACTATAAAAAAAAGGGAAAATTTTTTTAGATTTACCTCCTCTTTTCCTACTCATAACCCTTTCAAAATGGTTGTCCTAAAGGACATATGCAGAAAGTAAAAATGCTGTCATAGAATTTATATTAGGAAGGAAAAAGTGCTGCAAACATTCACAGGAGATCAATTAATGTTTATGGTAAGACAACACTTGACATAAGCATAGTAAGGAGATGGATCAGTAGATTTAATGGCAATATGACAATGTAAAGCTTCAAGACCAGATAAGTAATGTGCATAATGGAACAACTTTGCCTCATCTATCCTTCAAGTCCAGAATTGTCAATCTCAAACTTTCACTCACTCAGAGGTTCTCCAATGGAGCAAAAGTGAAAAATGGCAAACTAAGAAGATTCTACAAGACAGGTATAGGTATTCCTATTAGGTCCTCATTCAAAGGTGAAATACAATATTTCAATTAAGAAAGGAGACTGTTAATCACAAGATTTAAAATCCTAAGACTTTTCTGTTCATTTTAGTATGCATTTAATGCTTCTACTATTAAATTTATTGTAATTAAATAAGGATTATTCTCTGATCAAACTTTGTATATAATTTCTGTTGACATGCTTATTTCCAAACTGTAAAAGTTATATAATAATTGTATCATCAATTATTTTAATACATCATGAGAGTGTAATAACCAGAAAAAGAGTTTGAGCATTAGTAATCTAATTATTGCTATTAATATATGAAACTTTTATTCTTATTTTTTTAGTTCTATCTAACCATTTACTTTGATGTAGTATTATCATAAAGGAATTGATACTAAGTCCAAGCACAGTATAAGAGGATGAAAATTAAGATACAAAATAGTTATTTATGCTACTTTGTATTCATATATTTTACAAGTAAATGTATCAGTGTGTATGGAAAAAGAAAAAAAGGTCTAAGGTAAAGACTGTTGTTCCCAGGTTTTGCAACCAAGAATTTCACAAGAAAATGTTTAGTAAACAATGTATACAATCTAAATGCCAAAGAATTTATATAGACTTTGTTTAAATATTGTCCTGCATATGCTTTAAAATCTTACAAAAGCAACTGGATCAATTTTCTTAATACACATATTGTTATAATCAAAAATAGCAAATGAGTGTAGAATTCGAATGTATAAATCAAAAGGTGCAATTCAAAAATAAACTTGTTAATAAAGTTGGATCTATCTAATGTATATAAACTCAAATAGCTATAAAATTTATGTATATATCAGATATTACTAATGAGTAAGCAGTGAGACTTTACAGCTACCTTTCAAACTTTCTTCATATAATTTGAAAACTGGGAAGCGAATTGAAGAGACGATATGGGTCAAATTCAATAAAATATGTTTAAATTATCACTATCATAATCATTATCCATGCCATGGGAAAGTGATGGCTCCTTTCAAGCATGTGCATGAGTGTATTTTTAGATGAATAAGGGGCTGCACAGCTCTAGACCCACCGTCTCTACATTTCTTCAGAATCTAATAGCAAGGTTGTAGCATAGGATGGCTGATGGAGGATCAGTTACAATGCTCTTCTTGGACTATGGCAAAAGTTTGAATTCAGAGTTTTCCTTCTCCTACAATGGATGCCACCTAAGACAAGACACAGCAGTCTGCTCTGCCACATAATCCACACACACAGACAATAACTTTCCAGAATAATTAAATTATCAGAATTAGTTTTCCCACAAAATATCTCTAAATCTTAAGGAACAGATTTTCCCAAATGAGAAAAATGAGCTGAGCAGCTACTCAGTTAAATGTAGATTTGTCTCAATAAAAGTGACAAAGAATTATGAAGTTACTTTTTATTGTAATATGTGAATAAAGTTGCTTACATGATTTATTGAATACAAAAATTGCTATTAATATAATAATTGGTTAAACAAGCTTCTTCAATAAACTTTGTGATGATTCAGACTAAACCTAACTAGATTATAAATATTTAAAAGTTAACTGCTGCAACTATCCCAATATCCAAAAATAACTGAGTCAATGTTGATAACAGATAAACTGTACACTCATCACCTAAGTAAATTGCGTATATAATTAGCATTGATTTGGGTGTATTCGTCAAACCCATTATTTTTTAAGCGCTAAAACTTGGCACATTATAGGCTTTATAATCATTAGTGATTAATGAATTATGTTAATGAGGAAACCAATTACATCTTGTATCATTAAGAGGCTGAACACAAGTTCAGGGTAAAAAATAAAATCTTACATCTGAATAAAAAATATATTATGATATTAAACTGCTCCTGCTTTTCTTTTTCTTCTTGCAATAGAGATTTTTGACAAGCTGTATTCAGATTTATTAATGTTTTACTTTGCTTTTTTTTTCACCTTTAGTTACTTTTTAATACATTCTATGACTTTTAAGCAAGTATCATGGATCAGAAATTAAAAAAATTAGCCTTTGATGAAGTCGCATTCTGTATCCATCATGAGTAGCAACTTATTAATTAGGAATTCTGTTATACTTAGCTTACACTTGAAATCAAGCTGATTTTTTTTTTGTTCTTGGCTATCATCTTCTCTATTGAAAGGACTCTTCTAGTGTCTACATGCATGGCCTTGTTCTCTAGGTCTGTGAAAATCTCCCAGTAGCATGGGAATTGTCTCTAGAGTCTCCGGACTGTTTTTATATGGACTTCCGACTTTCACTATAAAACTCAGTTATATCTTCTTCCTTTATCAAGCCCTTCTTCTCAGAACTGTTGCTTACTAGATAGAATATCTAAATTTAAATGGTGCAGCTACTCATATCCGAGGATGCCTGTCTAGCTAATCCCCGTTGCAGATACCTGCTGCTCATGCACATTTGTATTTGTTCAACACCCACAGAATTCACCAGTAGTTTACACTGCAACTATGCTGAGCAGACTCTAGTTACAGTTTCTGTGACTTTGTGCTAGCATAACCATTGATGACTCCCAAGGGTTCTGTCTACCCAATTTCATTCACAAGGCTTGGGTCAGCCATGGTTTGGTTTTCAGGCATTTTCTAAAGCTGATACATGCTGGGATCACCTCCTCCAGACTGATAACATCAAGAAGTCACCTTCCTGACAAATCAACCATGGTGAGATTCAAACCTGGATCTCATGGTCAGAAAGCAAACGTTCTAGCCACTTGGCCAAGTGCCAATAGAATATCTAACAGTATAGATAAAGCCCTCTCTCTACATTTGTCTGCAAATATCTTTGTTTTTGGTGACTTCAGTGCTCATTACCTCAAGTGGCTTCATCACTCTAATGCCACTGATCTCACTGGCACCCAGATTTTGGACTTCTCAATCTCTCACTCAAATAATAGATTTCCCTACTTGTTTCCCTAGTATCTTTACTTGATCTGTTTCTTACCTACTCCCCAGACTCATGATGTGCTTTGCAACTGTCTTTGTGGCAACTCTGACCATGTGGTAGTGTCTGTAGATATTTTTAATGCTCATCTTTTAAGCAAGAACTCTCTATTAACAGGAAATCTTTTAGTTATCAACACAATGACTGGGACTCATTTTGTGATTTTCTTCAATGGAATTAAATTTTTAATCTTTCTTTTGAAAATTGTGCCACTGTGATTTTTCCTGGACTAAAGCCAGCATTGAAGCACAGAAATACCAAGTGAAACTGCAATCTTATGTCATTCACTCCTGTCTGTTCAGCCACTATAACTCACAGGAATCAATTCCTCCAGCTATACCAATGTGACAGTTTGGATCATAAGATGTCTCTTTGTATCTATTTATAATGAGTGTAAGTGTATCCTCAATGAGGCAAAGCCACTATTCGCTGATAGAATGAGACACTATATAGCCTCTCTCAAGTTTAGTTGTTAGATTACCGGTAGCTGTATAAGAATATGTGAGTGTGCTGAACAAGAGTAAATCTTCAATATCTCCTTTCTTCAATCAGTTTGAAGTATTGTCACCTACTGCTGATAAAGTAGAATGCTTTGTTCAGAAATGTTCTTCCAATTTCACTGTTGAGTCTTCAGAAGCATCTTTGTCTGATCTTATCCCTTATCTTATCTCCAGACTAGATCCCCACAAGACTTGCAGACTTGATATCCCTGCAATTGTCCTAAAGAAATGTGCTCCTGAACTGGCTCCCGTTCTTGCTTTTCAGCTTCTTGGAAATTCTCCTCTGTAGTTCCAGGGTTCTTTAAGAACTCAGGTGAAACTTCTGATCCCTCGAATTAGCACCCTGTTAGCATTTTACCTCTTTTTGGCAAAGTACAGGAGACTAAAAACTTTGAATTGATTAAGCATCTCATTTCATATAGCCTTCTTTTGGATAAACAATATGGCATTTATTTCTCTAGGTTTACCGCTGATGTGTTAATGGTTATTACTGAATTTGTCTATCAGGCTTTAGATAAGAACAACATGGCTCGGGCTTTAAATATTTCAA